TTGGTTTTATCTCTTGATTGTTATTTAAATGCAGCAATGTTTTACTCATGTTGTTTAGTTTATTATTTTTTTAGTTTTAAAAATGTGAAACTTTTGTATCACAGGCAGTATTTTTACTTTAATGATTTAATTCTCAAAGCTGTATCTTTAATGTGAGCTGTCTCAGTGAGTAAGAAAAAAGTCTACTTTTGATTTCTTATTGTTATGGTTACTGAGAGATAAATACAAGTAATTTAATGTTGCATTGTGGAACTAGCTAAAGATTAATAACAACTGTTACTTGAAATGTGTTCTTTTATTAATTTTAATGCATTTGAAGTATTTTCTTATATCTCAGAAGGATTTATATATTCTTTTGATCACTGAAAATCTAGTATTATTTAATTTGATCCAACTCATTTTTCAAAGCATTGAGTTCTAAGGAGAAGTGGTCCAGCATATCCCTGGTTTTGATACAAATGTGAGACATATTGAATTCATTAATGGAGACCATGAGGAAGTTGTTCATATCCAGGTTATTTGCTGAGATTAGTCCTATGCTTTGGTATGAGCATTGGCTTTGAGTGAGCTTTGGTGCAGAGTTTGAGAAGAGGTACCAGGGTGCATCATGCCTTTGAGCAGGCACAGGCACACATGTGCAGAAGGGCCAGGGTAGAGCTGGACGTACACGTTTAATGCACTCCATGCTGTGGTGCTGTTCCATACCATTTTTCAGTTCCTTGCAAGCATCAGAGACTAGGTGAGACAAAGGCAGCTAGGACAGGCATTGCATCCAAGTGAGGATGCTGGGGAGCACGTGCAGGTTCACCTTGTCAGAACTGCTGTACCCCTGGAGCAGCCAAGCAGTCACAGAGCAATTTTGTGTTTTGACCTATGCCTTCCTGAACAGTGGATCTAGAGCTGAGGAGATCAGCTAAATTGTAGTTATTTGAGAATCTGCATTGGAGTCTCTTTTACCTGTTAGTTGTAAAGTGGGGCATTGGAGCATTCTCACCTTCACAGGGCACTAGGAGACACTAAGAACTGAGTTACCTGTTGTGTTGATGAAAATGTGTAAGAAACAAAACTATGGAAAACCTTTTATAACCAGTACATTTACAGCTGTAATTTTGTATGAAGCTTGGTGGCCTTGAGGTGTGGATTTTTTTTTTTCTTCTGATGATTTGCTTGTTGTTTTCTCTTTTCTAAGTCAGATATTGTGCAACATGGTTTTTCACTAGGTTTGTGGAATTTTTTTCTCATTTTGATAAGGGGAAAAGAAGGTTGCCTTTGTTTTACTTAGCTTTATTTTAAATAATGTTTTATTTTAAGAAGGCTATTTTACAGTGTTTACAGTGTGCTTCAATTTTTTATTGTGTCATGCCCTTCCAGTCCCTTGGTGAGATGAGAGGTATGTATTATATAATTTATAATTAATTTATGATGAATCACATATGATGAATACTCCTTATTAAATATTAAAGCCTTGTGTACAGTCGTGGCAGTACTATGGCAATGGCACTCCTGCCTGTTCATATGGTACTATTGAGCAAACTCATTGACTTAGGCTGTGTTGTCAGGTCTCAGTTATTATAAGAGCCCTGCCTAGGCAAACAATGTTAAGGGGAATTGGCTCTCCTTTCAGAGTAGTAGCCCTGCTACTGCCTTCCCCCTTCCCCTTGTGTACCAGCAGCCTGGGGTTGTAATGAGGGTAGAATTTCTGCAAAACATGGTTGCAAACAGAGATGGTGCTGCTGGTAGTTCCCCAGCTCCATAGGGGTTGTTATAAGTCCTGGTTCCTTGCTGACAGACCCCTCACTGACAGAAGGCTGAGTGGAGTTGGAGACTAACCTAACAGGAGGTAACAGGATGCCTGGATCAGACAAGTGGAAAATCTAGGCTAGATTTTGACAGTCCATTTTTATTAGTGAGGACTGGAATTTGGACAAAGGAATAATTTACCTGCAGAGGTCGTTACAGCATATGGAATTAACCAACTCCCAAATAAACTCAGTAAAACAGCAGTGAGAAACAGTGGTAGGGGATTGTGTGCTGCCAGTTTAGGGCACTTGGTCTCAATGAAGGCATTTTTCCAAATGCATAGCAATGAATATCTGAAGCAGAAATAGTAGAGAAATCAGAAATAGACAGAGCTCCCCGACTCCTCTGAAATCAGGGGAATCCCCCCAGTCAGAAATCTAAGGCAGAAAAGAAAAAGTAGACTTCTAGTGATGTTTTGTACTCTGCCTTGCCTTTTTCAGAGTGTTGACCTATGTGTGTCAGTGAATGCAGTGTACAGCAAGGAAAAATTGATGTCACAGTGTGATGCAACAGACCTTAATCCTGAAATTCTTGCTTCACTGTATTTAGGGCCAGCCCAGCAGGCAGATTTTCTTGTACATTTTCTTGACTCTTAAGTGTCTGTTATAGCAGGTAGATTAGAAGGGGCAGGAGAGACCTGAAAATTTCAGTCAGAGAATACAGGATAGATAATTTCATATAGGATGCCATATAAGACCACATGAAAGTGTGTACTGTTTTCCTGAAATGATTGCATCCTATGGGAACTGAATTAGGAGCAGCAGGCAGAGCATTTGAGCACTGAAATAAAAAAACCCAAAACAATCGTCTGTGGTGAGTAACTGAGTGACAGTAATGTAATACTATGTTATTCTACCTAGTACAAGGACAAAGGAAAGCAGTCCTATATAACCATCTTGATGGCTTGATGGTCCGATATAACCGTCTTGTTACATAAAGATTAAGTGATCAACTATTGAAAAATCCTTACAGTACAGATAACGAAATTCAGTAGTTCTTTGGATGGGCACCATGGAAAAAAGAATACTAAAACAGGCATATTACTTCAGAACTTACATATATTTCAAGAGCTCAAGGTATAAAAATTGCAATAAAATCTATTTCGAATGACATTGGTTTTGTTCTTTTCCCAAAGATTTCATTGGATGATTTGATATCATTTGATATGACAGATTATCAGGACCTTGTTTTAATATTGATTAAATCACACACATAGACAAAACTTACAGTCCTTAAAATGACATAAACAAAATTGACTTATAAGATTTGATCTTAATGGGGAGGGATATCTTCATTGGTACTGAGACTTGGATCTAACATCACTTTACGCATACAGCTGTGAAGATTAATTAAAAAAAATTTTAACAGTATGTGGAAATTACCAAAGGAAAAATTACGTTTAGCAACATAGCACTTTATTTTGTATAGGAGGTAATAATACTGGGGAAACCCTGTTTTTTTTGTCTTAGGGGTGGCATCAGCACTAGAATTGCTATGCATTTGAAAGAAACAGTTTTCACTGACACTCATGTATCTAGTTACGCTTTTCTCTTTTCATTTAACTTGAATGAGTAAATTGCAAGTAAAAAATTTAGTGACAGTGTCTCTTTTTGCATATTACTAGGCAATTGTTGAAATCCTCACTGGTTATAGTAGGTCAGCTTATTCTCATTATTAAATGACAATGGTCATTAAAATGGCAAACATATATCTGTAGAATTCACTTTATAAAATGTCAGCAAGTTTGCATGTTTTTATTAGTTCCAAATCAGATATTTCAATAGACCATTTGTAAGTATTCCCAGAGCAATGTCCATTTCTGAATTTTTGAGAGCACACAAAGATATTACAAATTAATCAGATTTTCAGATTTCTGCATAATAAGTCCACACATTTATTGTTTAATCCAATTCTAAAATGCTGTTATGATTGACAGCTTTCTGTAGAGATGGAAGTCAATTGAATAATATGTAGCAGTCAATTTTATTTGAACCTTAATGCGGTGAAGGTGTTTTTTTTTCCACATTTCCATTATTTATAAGTTGTTCTCCTTGGAGAATATATAAAAGAATTTGTTTTAAATGAGCTGATAATACCCTCTTTAAAATTTATGACAGAATTGTATCCTTTTTCCTTGCAGCACAAGGGTGTGCCAAGAAACTGTTTCTGAATTATCTTGCTATTCATAGGACAAACATTAGAAAAGAGCATCTTGTTAAGGTTTACTTGGAATGGAATTTCAATCACTCATCAGAAGAAAAAACAAACAAACCAGAAGATATCATACCAATCAGGAAACCTGATGCCATTGCCAGGATTTTCTTTATAAGAGACCACAGTACTCTTGCAGCTACATTTGATACTTGCTGTCATTCTTGCAACCTCAAAAATCAATGTGGGCCTGATCATCACCACTGAAAAATTCCTTCACCCAGAGGAAATGGAGGATTGGGATGTAGTTTTGAAAACATCTTGGTACTCTATTACAACTGATAGGATGTTTTTATTTTTCTTCCTCCCTTTCAAATCTGTATTGCAGATTTCAGCAAAATTTAGCAGGCTGGACTGTGTTCTGTGCTTAGCAAGTCATTAGTGCCCAGCATATAGTTCAATTTTTAGATATTGATCTTCTCAATAAATGCTGGAAATCCTTGGTTTTGCAGAATTTTGCTAATCCTCCACATGCAATTTAAAAAGAAAGCTGTCATATGGAAGCATACCAGTTTTCATAGTGCCTTTTTATTGTGCATAGTAGAGCCTTTGCTGCCTCAGTAGCTGACAAAAGAAAATATTTTATTAAGATATAAAGTAGATGCGACCTGATTGTTTTTTCAGATAATTTTTGCTTTCATAAGTTGCAATAGCTAATGCTCACCTAACCATTAAAAAATGCAGTTCCTACACACACGGAGTGCTCATGTGCTGTATGTAAATTGATGTATAATGCAACTCACATTAGCTGGGTTGATGATAGCTTCAGTTTCACTGCTGTCAGATTTCTGTAACTCTTTGAATGAGTTGGTTGGTCTGAATGAACGTTAGCATAATTTATGTGGCTGATAAGCTATTTGAGTGCTTGAGTTATTGATAAAGCACTTTAACATATCATTTTCAGATTCATGTTATGTGACATCAGAGTAGAAGGCAATGTGGCAGTCCCCGGGTTTGATATTAAAGTCAATCTGTTCTTTGGATTTCAGAGGCCAGAGGAAACACCGTGCTTCCTGATACAAGCCCAGCAGACCAGCACCAACCCAGTCAGTCCCATCCTGCATTCCCTGTTGGGCCTCAGGTCGGTATCTTTCCTTTTAACTAATTGAGATGTTCAATTTGATGAACAATAAAAAACTGTGATCATCTTTGATGTGTAATGTAGAAAATGTGAATCTCTTTGGCTGCATTCAGTGGTACATAAAGGGAACATGTATGTATCATGTATATTTTAAAAGTCTAGTTTGGCAGGATTAGATTTTGTATGTTTTTCTAAAATAAAACCTAAGAAGTTTTACATATTTAGGAAGTTAAAATATTTTAATTTCTTATGTAAATTACTTATAAAATGAATATAATAATTTAATATTAAAAACATTGTGCAATTTTAATGTAGAATTATTGTCTCTGACAGTTATGTCTGTCACACAGAGCTCCTGTATTAGTAAAGGTATTTCATTATCTTTTATGCCAGATATTTATTTTCTTTACAGCAAAGTGTAGTAGTATTACACTTTATAGGATTTTAAAATATATCCCATCTCATTTCATGATTTTATCCAAATTCAGCTATACTCTAAAAAGATACTCAATATTCTTCCACTTGCCAGGACAGTTGTGGTCCACAAGGCTTCTGGCAGTTGTCACTAGTGTTTTCTGCTCTTATCAATCAGTATACAACCAGGAATTTTTGGGAAATGTTGGCATTTAGGTACTTGTAGACTAAGTTGAGTTATGTCATATTTTGCTTATATATTATCTTTCGTGTATGTGTAATGAATTTTCCAGTCTAGATTCAGCTGGGATTGCTACTATGCTGTTTGACTGAGGCTTCCAGCTTCAGACTGTCATATTTGTCAAACTTTTCTGTATCGGTGAAAATGTATGCTTTAAGATACTGGAAGCAGTGCATGTCTGTAATGGAACATGAAAAAATCTCAAGCCAGAAAGTTGAAAGTGTGGAATACTGAGCTATACACACTGAAATAGGTTTGTATCTGTGGTTTCTTACAGCCACTACTGACAGCCCAACAGTTAGCCTCAGCAGTAGCAGGGGTGATGCCAGGAGGCACTCCAGCCTTGAATCAGCCAATCCTTATTCCTTTCAACATGGCTGGGCAGCTGGGGGGCCAACAAGGACTCGTCCTAACTCTACCTACAGCAAATCTCACCAACATCCAAGGACTGGTAGCAGCAGCTGCAGCAGGAGGCATCATGACTTTGCCATTGCAAAATCTACAAGGTAAGTCATGTTCATAATTTTTCTTACAGGTTCTTTCACATGTTTTATGCCATCTTTTTCATTAAACTGAGTGATCTCTTTTTCAAATGAAATGTTATTCTCCATGAATATTGAAAAGTAATACCTGGATTTTTTTTGAGTGCTTGACAGATAATTAAGGGCTATTTGCCTTTTTATAGAAACATGTTGGAGGCTGGGTCTTACATTCTGTGGGTCAGTAATGCAAACCACTTGAATGACTCATTAGGTTATTCTGTCATCAGTGATCAATGTTCAACCCACAGATCACTTGGAGATTTCAAATGATAGAATAACAGAGTCATAGAATATGATTTGGAACGAACTTTAAGATCATGTAGTCCCAACCCCACCTGCCATGGGCAGAGACACCTCCCCATAGATGGGGTTGCTCAATGTCTTACCCAGCCTGTCAAGGTTGGGGCATCCCCAGACTCCCTGGGAAACTTCTACTGTCTTATCACCCCCAAGTGAAAACTTTCTTCCTAATATCTAACCTAAATCTTCCCTCATTCAATTTATACCTATTATTCCTTGTCCTGTCACTATGGTTCCTGAGGAGGAATCCCTCTTCGGCTTTCTTGTAGAAACCCTTCAGATAGTGGAAACTTGCCATAAGGTCTCCATGTGATCTTCTCCAGGCTGAGCAGCTCAGTGTTCATAAGGGAGGTGCTGCAGTCCTCATAGAAACTTCATGGTCCTCCCCTGGACTTGCTCCAACAGTTTAATGTGTGTCTTATGTTGGGGACACCACAACTGTGCATACTCCAGGTGGGATCACATGTGAGCAGAATCATCTCCTTTGACCTTCTGGTCATGCTCCTTGTGATGAAGCCCAGCTGGTTTGTGTGGAGTTTTTCATCACCTGTCACCCCCAGGTCTTTCTTACCAGGGCTGCTCTCTGTCACTTCTCTGCCCAACCCACTGGTATGTCTGGGATTGCAGTGACCCACGTGTAGGACCTTGCACTTTGCTTTGCTGAACGTCATAAGGTTTGCTTCAGCCCACATCTCAAGCCTGTCAAGGTCCCTCTGGATGCCATTATCCCTTCCCTCCAAGCAAGCTGGCTGCAACACACAACTTGTTTCACTGCTGCTGATTAAAGCAGCTGTATGAATAAAGGCAACTAAAAATACAGTATTGCATGAAGATAACTTTTATAAAATTTACAATAAAATCAGAGTTTTCTCATCTGTCATCCATGCCCCAGATATATTTTTGTTCTTGCTGTGGGAGGTCTGCTTTATCAATAAGGTTCTGCCATCCTCCTTCAAGTTGTTGAGAGAGTTGCATGACTCCAAAGTAACTAGGAAAAAGTTAATCTCTCTATGTATCCTCTCTATTGTCTGAGCTGTACCAAGCTTGCAATGGTTCTACCCTGAGGGATCTACTACATTTTCCCTGTGGTCTAAAATCAGACTGAAAGCAGTTCTATAAGATCTCTTTTTTCCCCTGTTCAATCCATGTGTCTAACACTGTTAGGAACAGTACTCAGTCCAAGTACATAAAAGATAAAATACAGATGTATTTATTTACTATTCCTAACTATGTTGATACTTCTCAGAATGCAGTTGCTGCTGAATAGAATGGAACAAAGTACAGCAAGATAAGTGTTAGCCAATATCTTACAACAGAATTGTATAATTTTAATGGACAAGGACAGTAAAGGAAGTGATAGTCCAGTGTGAAAGTGATAAAGGTGTGAGCAAGAAGTGTAAAAGAAAGCTTTAACTGGTTAGATTTTTTTTCTTTATTTATTGCTATTTCTTTCTAATGTAAATGGCATGAAATATTTTCCTCCAAGAAAATGGTAATTTTTTAAAAGTAATCCTCTGCACTGTGCTCTAAATACCTTTTAGTCATCAAACTCTGGTGGCTGCTGATTACCAGATGAATTATTTGAAGCACCAGATCCTACAGGTTGTCAAACAGAGAAAACAAAGAGACAGCTCTTGTGTTGAACAAACTCCCTTACAAAGCACATGCATAGTACTCTCACCTGTTGGGAGCAACTACTTGCCTTTACCTTCTGCATGTTTTAAAGTTTAATGTCAACAGACCTCTCTTATCATAGCTGTAAATGGTTTTCACTTTAATGTTTAAAATAATGTCTCTCTCATACCATTAAGCTGCACCAAAGAACCTGTCATTCATAAATGATAGATGAAAAGGACACACTAATGCACAAATTTTACTTGTTTAAAATTTGAGAGTGCATGTAAAGTAGGAATGGGAGATTAAAAAAATAATGCAAGAACAGAAGTGGGTAAAAGCAGATATAACAAAGTGAAGGGGAAGTAGCTTTTTAGCGTAGGTGGATGATGAAATCTTAATGAAGAAACAGGCATTATAAAAATGTATCCTTCCACTCTGGAGTGCTCCAGGTTAGAGTTGCTGGGTGTGTAGTATTATAAATAAACATAAGCTTGTGCAGTTCTTACGTCATTTTTTCACCCCGTGTTGCAAAGCTGGAGGGTAGGGATTAAGCCAGGAAACCTTTGCTCTTTAGTTTAGCCATGGATGTCTAATTGCTAGCTAAAAGATGTAACTTTGCTGCAAATAAATTTTGCAAGCAATGACCTTAGGAGATGA